TAATACTCTCTTCTGGGTTTTAGTTGTGAAGCACAACTTGTGCACAGAGGGAGCAAATACAGCAATAAATATAATGATAATTTTCTTCAGCTATCTCCACTTGTGCTACAAATTCTTTAGACTTGCTGCTATGAGATTTTTTACTTCCTTAAAATTTCAGCATATGGTTACATGTGTTACTTGGCTGTCATTTAAATAATAAAAGTCTACTCCTGTATGTGGGAGAGGCTTGGAATTTTGTCCTACGGGTTTGCAAATCACTGGAGAAGTAGCAATAGGCATTTAAAATATGAAAACATCCTTTAATGCCTGTATTACGATACTTGAATGCTTGAAAATTTTCTGAATACTTATTTCTCATTTTCAGCTTTTCCAGCTTTTTTCCTTAAACGTTCTCTCTGTTATCTTTTCTCCTAGCTCTGATGTTTATGTGTTTAATGATGAAATATCTAGGATTCTTTCTGCTTCATCCTTTTTCCCCCCCATTGATCCTTTTCTTTCCTCTAACTGCCATTCATTTGTTCTGCAGTTTATCTGTATTTTCTGCAGACTGTTGGACTGAAGAGAGATCAAGAGCTAGAACTTGCGTATGCAAATAGAAGGAAATTAGAAAGTTCTAAAAACTTTGGACATTCTCAGGCCATCTGCCCTGTGACAGTGCATGATTTGTTTTAAATTCCCTTTTGCTCTCAGTTGCTGAGCGTTTGGGCATCTATAAAAGTATTTCTTATGGGAGACTGGGAAAGACAGGATTTATTAGCTAACTGTATTAGAAGATGAGAATGTGAAATGTTAGCAAAGCTGGACTCAGTCCTATTTTGAACTCTGGTGGCTTGAGCTCTGCTGGTTTTGAGAGAGAAGAAAGTGGAGTTAAATTGCAGGAAGGGCTGCAAAGGCTGTTACAGGCAGACAGCTCAGCTGTTGGTATGGACTGTGTGCGGGTAATGAGTACTGAAGTCTCTGTTTAATGCTTACATAGGCCAAAGACAGACTGCATCTGCAGACTGTACTACTGCTTGAAGTTTCTTTTTAGTGTGTAAAATATCATAGCGTAAGAAAACTTAAACTGTGGTGAGAGGAAAACGTCAGTTTTAGTTTTTGAAATATGGGTTTTCTTTATTACTTTCCAGGTATCTTGGCATTCTTGCAAGTTAACTCACGAGGAGTGGTTATACTCCACCCTGACTCAAATGCTTAATTCTTGATAGGGTTGGAATTTTTCTTGATAAATAAATAAACCTTTAACATTAGGTAAGTAATTTCAAACCTGGATATTCTTTACCTGCAGAGAGCAAATCTGCTTAAGAAAGTGCCGTTATCTCATTGTTACTTTAAATGTCAATGACAAGCATATTGGTTTATGTGATAGTTTTTATGGTATACTGGATATATGGTGGTCATTGTTTACATTAGGTCTTTTATTTCCTTTGTAGTCTCTTCCCTAGAGGGAGGTGTATACAGGGTGACATTTTGATTTTACGGTTTTGTCACAGTTTTTTTTAATGGATGATATACAGTATATATGTAAATGAGAAGTGAAAGCCACGTGCCTTCTGTCAGTCAGTGATAGCTCTTAGTATCTGCTAAACTTTATTCCACAGTCTTACCAATATTTTTTTTTTTAAAAAGGAAAGGTCGCACAGTACAGGGAAGGGTTGTCTTGGTTAAATGTAAGTTCCATTGAAGGGTGGAGTTGCTAATGACTGTCTTTATCCCAGAGAGTTGTGTAGTCCTTCTAAACATCCTGAGGCCAGGTCATTGGGTGCCTTGCAAATAAGAGATCTTAAGAGTGACTCAGTGTTTTATGGAAAACCAGGGTAGGAGGTTGCAGCAGATCCGGTGTCTTCCTAAGCTGCTGTTAGTCAAAGGAGAGATGCTAGAGCATTCTTCACCCTGAGGTTGGTAGGTAAGGCTGCATTGCTGTGGTCTGCCAGGAGAAGTTGTGAAAAAATGAAACCTGTGTCTTAATCCACTGGCATTTGATGGAGTCTCCTCTCCCTGGTTCCAGATACAGGTAATAGGCAGGAGAAACACCAGGACTTCAGAATTAAAGTAGCGGGAGAGACAGCACTGGAAGTGGATTGTGCTTTTCTCTCCTGTGAAATCGTGGCCTTATGGTGGTGTGAGGAGCGTGTTGCTTCTGTTCCCTGGATTATGGCTAAACCTCTGGGTTAGGAGGTGAGGTGGGGCAGCACGGGCAGCGTGAGCTTGAGGGGCGGCAGCATCGTGGCTCGGTTTCGTATAGCAGCCAGCACTTAAGGCATTACCTCACACAGCAGTGCTCCATGCGTGTTGTGGGCATGCCATGCTATCTTACCAAAGCTGAAAATCTACAGTAATTTTTAAGCACTGAAGAATTTTATTTTGTAAAATTCTTGTCACTCCCATCTCAAAATGAGTGAAATGAACAAATTAGGGAGAAGGGTGATGAATAATGGGAGGTGTGGAGCTGGTTTTGACCATTCCTGGGCACACGATAGTCAACTGTTTGGATCAGTGAGCTGAATCAGAATTGCAGTCCTTCATTCTTAGAATCATAGAATCATAGAATGTTTAGGGTTGGAAGGGACCACTAGTGGTCATCTAGTCCAACCCCCCTGCAGTGAGCAGGGACACTGCTAACTAGATCAGATTGCTCAGAGTCTTGTAGTGAATAACACCCCAAACTAACTTTTACAGCTATCACCACTAAAGTCCTGATACAGACCACCCTGGGGCGCCTAAATAAAGGTATCCTAGGATTCATCTGCTCCTTTTATAGCTAGAGAGCTGAGGCCATAATGTCGATGAGATGTTCTTTTCTGTCTGTCTGACTCTACAGGGAGTCTCAGACTTCAGCTGTATCTGTTGGCATCTTCGTGGAGATGAATAGTTTGCCAGGGAAGATCTACTGGATGCCCTGATGCCCTCTCCTTCCATGCTGCTATCTGCTACCGATGTCTGCTGCTAAGCCTTGAGCAGTGCATTTATTGTAAGAATTTGGCCTTCATCACAGTGTCCTCCTAGCTTGCTTGAGTGACGTGTATCCCAGTGGGAACCATGAACCGCTGCAGTCTGGTAGATTTCATAATCTTTCTGTCTTGCCAACCTTGACTTTAATAGCACTTTTCTGAAGTGTGTGGAACTGAAAGGGAGACCAAGGTGGTCCAGAAGTATCTCTGGTATTTTTTCCATGTAGTCACACCATTGGTGGTGGAAGAGAGGAAGAGAACCTGCTCCATAGTCTGGTCTTGCCTGTTTTCAGCTGTACTGAGTATTTAGCTTAGCTGATGGTTATAAACCACTTTGAAAATGATGATTTATTAGGTTTTGGTGGGGTTTGTTTTGTTTTGTTTTGGTGTGTGTATATCAAGCTCCATTGCCCTTACACAGACAGTTCATTTGGTTATCATGAGCAGTGTTTCTTTGGACTGGTTTTTGTTCCTGGTTCTTTTCTATTTTTCACTTGGGAGTAGAATAGTAAAGAGAAGGCAAAGCAGAAATTTATATTAATCTAAAACTTGTTGGAGAAGCTACTTGACTTTGATGTTAATTTATAAGATACCAATCTTTTCCTGTTATCCTTCTGACACAAGGCTGTACACTTCAGGTGTAAGGTCTGTGATCTTAAAACAAAAAAAAAAATTGTTACTTTGTTCCACATGTTCATGACCTTTGTACAGTAGGCTAGAAATAGCTGAGGAGGTAGCAACTAGTGATCCGGCATTTAGGCTAAGTTAAGACTTTTCTTCAACAGAAGGATTATCTGGATTGCATTATTGCCTAATCCATTATGGTTTAAGCAGTCTTGACACTTGATTAAGTAATGTGTAAATCTGTTTTCAGAAGTCTGTTCATGCATGTATTTCTCCTTAATCCTTAGTTCAAGCTTCATTTTAGAAACAGATTTTGGCAGAACTTTCCTGTGGTTAGTTTTAGCAGAATCCTCAGCCCATGTCTGAATCTAAAACATCTACTTGCTATGCAGTATGAGCAGACAGTATTTCAAAAGAACAGCTCTCTCCCCCATGTTTTTAAATTGAGGAACCAAGACTTTGAGAGTTGCTCCCAATACTGACTTGACGGGGCATCTTTTGTTGTTTTCTCATCAGCACCAGCAGTATGAAGCGTGGTCTGTTTGTAACTTCTTTAATTGAAAGCATTGACCGAAAACTCGTGCCGGTTTTGAGACTCCCTGGGAGATCAGTGCAGGTGAAGATGATAATGCTATTAAAAAGAAAAAAAACAGTAAAATCCTTCTCATGGTGCGCCCAAAGTATAATTTCATTGAGTCCTAGGAGCATACAGGTTGGAGGGACCTTGGGAGGCCATGTAGTCCCAGCCTCCTGCTCAAACCAGGGCCAGTTGGGTGAGGTTGCCTAGGGCCTTTTCCAGTTGAGTTCTGAGGATCTCCAGTGATGGAGAGACCACAATTGCTTTGGGCAACCTGCTCCAATATTCAGCCACCCTCAAATGAAAATTTTTCTTCCTTGGGTCTAATCTGACTTTCTTATATTTGAACTTGTCTGTTGTCTCTTGTCTTACCCCTGTGCACCTCTGAGAAAAGCCTGGTTCTCTACACCTTCCCATTAGATAGTTGCAAAGTTTCTGTGGAAAAAAAGACCGAGGACTTTCAGTGTCTGAGTCATTAAGTAACTGTTCTTTATAAAACATGGGACATACATTAAACTGACCAAGAAGGATATTTATTTTTTAGATCCAGCCTGTTTTCTGCTTCAGGCTGTTTTTTAGAGATAAAATACCATTTCTATATAATTTGTTAGGAATGTATTGTTTTTCCAGGAGATGGTGAAAATTTTTTGGAGGATTCACAGTTGGTTAATTGGAGTCAAAACCTTTAGAAATACGTCATCACTTCATAGACTCTGTGTATTTTGATTACTTCAGTGATATTCTGACCATAATTATGTGATAGTCCAATTGTCTGGAAGATAAAACTCGGTGTAAATTTATCACAGCTTAAAAGTTCTGATATCTAGTAGACAACGTTTCTGACTAATATGTCTGATGGTAACAAGGTAATAAAATTCCTCCTATACTTCCCATTTAGGATTGCCTGATGTATTTCTTGGTATAAATATTGTAACAGCTGGAACAAGTTCAAAGGAAATCTTTGTGGTATTGTTCATAAAACCAGCAAATTTAAGAGGCTTTGATTTACTACTTAAATGGGCATGTCTCCTTTTCCTGTTTTATTTTTCTTTACAGTGTGCAAAAAAGAGCCTAACTGAATTAAAGTTTGTCCCCCCCCTTTTTTTTTTCTTCCCTCCTCCCTCAGATTGCAGCTATTCTCAGGAAACGAAAACTTGACTATTATTTGCACAAACTGCTACCTGAGATCTTGCAATCAACTTCCTTTCTGACAGCAAATGGGACCTTGTATATTGCTTGCTTTTGCATTCTAAGGTTGGTATACTGTCCTAAAAATGAAATGTAATAGGAAAGTTATTTTTGTGCAACTTTTCAATTTATATGATATTTTGTTGTTTTTTATAATAGGCTTGTTTGTAGGAGTAAGAAAAGCATCAGCTGTGCCATCATCTTGATTTCTGGTCTTATCACTTGAATATGAATCTTCCCCCCCTCGTTTTTGTAATCTTTTAAACCAGTAAAAAAGTCAGTGTATTCACTTTGCTTCCTTTCCTTTGTTTTACTGATTCAAATACATTGTTGCAGGAAATTCAAATATATTCTAGAGGGGAACTGAGAAGGCCTAATCTTTATCTCCTAGAATTAATTGATGTTATTTGATATTGGTTTCTTTTTTCCTGATGCAGGGGGCTGTGATGACTTCTAATTGTTATAAACTTTATCCAGCCATCTCTGTTTGTACTTTCCTTATTTCTGGTCATAAACGAAGGAAATTCCAGCGCAGCTTCTGGGATTCTCTAAGATACAGAATTGCTCTGAAAAAATGAGTATAAATGCCACATCTGTATTCTGAGCTGTTCCCAATGTATATTTCAAGTAACTATCAGGATACTTAAAAACTAAACTTTCCTGTTTATGATCATGATGATGTCCTAGATCTAAATGCATTTATTGCAAGAGATGTTATACATAGACATGTAAAGCCTACAGTAGCTAGGAATTTTTGGAACTTACCTGACAGGGCACTCAAAAGCCCTTCTAAAAGTTAATCAAATCCGTTATGCCCTACTTCGAGTTATGCCCTACTTCAGGTTTAGAGGCCTCAAAACTTAGCTTCAAAGTTGAGGGAGCTGGCTGAGGAGCCTTGGAATGCTTTTTAAGTAAATAATTTGCAAAGTTCAAAGTGAATCTTTAAGTAACAAGCTCTAAAGAATATGAATTTTTCTAGCAATCCAAGTTATATTAATATTGATTTATCTTACTCCTCTGAGCTGTACAGTGGTCTTCCTTATCCTGCCATGTACTTGCCTGTAAATCTGCAGTGCCTTGCTTCAGTGCTGTAGTTAGATGTTACTCTCTAAATTAAGCTGGTGTGGTTTTAAGTTTTACTGTTTTCAGCTGTTCCTCTAACAGAGGTTGCTAGCCATCTAGCAGATCTTATGATTATGCCTGTGCTGGTAAATGAAGCAGGTAAGAGACCAGTGTCTGACCCTGAAGCCAATTGGTGTGGCATCGGTTTCGCCTACATGAAGCATTGCTGTCTAAAGCTGTTTTGACCCCCAAACCAAACAGCATGGCCAGATGTGGACTGAGTAATGGGAATTGTACCTAGACCATGTGCCTTCCAAGTCCCCCTGAAGCATTCTTTGGGCTGACTCAGGCCAAAGTCACGCAAAGGACAGTTCTAACAATTTAATGTGGCAAGGGACACATGTAAATGCTTACCCTACTGTTCTAATAGCTGTGCAGGAGAGTGATCAGCTAACATCTTCAGAGATGTACATGTGTTTCCTTTTGCAAAGAGATGCCTGTGGAGAGTTGTTGCCTCTGTCAGAATCTCTGCTGGTAGGGTCTCTGCAGACTCCCCACCACCTGCGACTGCAGGACTTGCAAGTACAAAATGTTGGCCTGGGGTGCCAGCTGGAGCTGGTGTACTGAAATCACAAATGGAGGCAAAAGAAGAAAGTATTTAGAAAGCCTTATGCATTACACCTGTTGGAGTATATGAAAGTCTAATTATAAGGAGTATTTGGCAGCTATTTCTGACAGGAATAAAATTCAGAGCCTCAGCAATTAAGTGAATAGGATATGAATAGGGTATGCAAGAGCTATTAAATGACATTCCAAATAATGAATGGATAATGTGATTATCAGAAAATTCACATCTTCCAAATTTACTGGTGTTCTTTGAAGGATATATACATGATGATGATCCGATTGGTGCATTATACATGAATTCCCAAATGATTTTGATGAGATTTCTTCCTATGACTTCAAGAAGAAAGATCTTCTGTCTTCCAGGAATTAGTAAATGATTAGCAAGTAGTTAAAATATGTGAAACCAGACAAGGAATAGATAATCAGTTTTTGTAATAGGAAGAGGTTGCCAGTAATATTC